CTTCCAATGATTCCCAAACTAGGATGAAACAGCTTTCTGGTACTCCCTGCCTTTCAATGGTTCTCTAACCGATATCAATCGATGATCAACTCGTAAAAACAAATCATATTTTAGTCAGTCAAGGAGTCCATGGTAGGCAAAAGTTCAAATACACTTAGTTACTGTGGGACAATCATATCAAAACACTTCGAATGAAAGCACTATACTGTACTCAAAATACTAAATGCATATGTCGCAATGTTGCTTAAAAAATAAATTGTGTTATCACGAAAAATTTGAATGTAAATAGTCCGGCGTAAGGTATAAATTCAACCGGCGATAAAATCACTTCCATCACGAACCGATTATCAGATAGGCGAACACTCAAACCCTTGCTCATTTCTAATTTCGTATTTTCAGGCAATGCTAACTTAAACTGTTTCTCTGCTAGTTATCTTCTGTGAATATAATCTCCTTCAGGAAACAAAATTATACAACAGCATTTATACCACACCCAAAATAAATTTTTCGCAAAGCCAGATGGACTACTTGTTAGTAGTTAGAATCATTCCAACCTGCAAAATCTATGTGATAAGAGTAGAGAAACAGACATACAGAGGTATTATGAGGTAAGAGAACATGTCCACTACACCAATAAGTGATATTCTTTATGATTTTACAAAATGTTGAAAATAAACTCAAACAAGGACGAAAGATAGACACGAATCAATGACATATCACCCATAGGAAACGTAGGTGTGCGTAAGTCAAAGGAAAAAGAAAGATTATCCTGCTTCTCTTTAGACAAATCGATACACTGTAAGCCTTCAAAGGTATATAAATATTCCTTAACCTTTTATTTCATTTGTGAAGTGTATAGCCTCTAAGCTGAAAGGGATAAAAGAAATAATATGAAAGATTGAACGCTGACATGCCAAACGCAATCCAGTTTATTATTGATCGAAGTATTAGATATCGAATCAATTCGACTAAATAAATGAGATTTTTTTAATTTAGTATACAGAGAGTTTCCGAGTGAGTAAACTGAGTCATAAATTAACTCGTTACCTTAAAAAAGAAACAAAAATCGACTTGGATAATCTCTACTCATAACCTACACAGTCAAAAGCAGTACACTAATTTCTAGAGGAATCCATAGGCTAATTAGGAAGATGAATGAATACCCCTCAACAGACTAGAAATCAGTCATCAAGAGGATGAATAATACAAAAAATTAACTACAGTAACTGATACTACAGGGTTATAGTGATATAGTTAACAGGTGAACCAAACGGAAAGCAAAATCAAATAGGAATATGAACAAAGGCGATTGCCTCAAATAAAAGTGAACACACTTCAAGAGAAAACAACAGAGATATTTTCACTTGACACTAGTAACTAGTGTGATGTGTCTAGTCCTCTCATTGGTGCAGACTGACGAGTGCCAACTAGTACGAAACCTAGGTTCAAGGCTTCCTGTGGCTGATTACCTCCAACCATCTAATAACAAGAGAGAACTAAATATCTTAATAATAATAATAATAATAATAATAATAATTGCTTTATTCCAAAAACAGTACTCATGATACAGCAAGGAATTTTCAGCATTCAGTACAATATTGCATCTAATTTACCCAAAAACGACAAAAAAAATTAAAAATACACAATACATAATAGTAATAAAACGATTGTTGTAGCAGCTACGTAGCAAAATACTGTGTGCCATACGGAGAAAAATATGTATAAAGTACAAAATTGTAGTAATAATAGTAATACCAACTAATATAAAATAGCAGAGTAACGATTTAAACGATAGAAAGTGTGACACCATAAAATACAGAAAGATGAACGATAAAAGGGTCGATTCACTGTGCTAATTACATAGTAACTTGTAAGTTTCACGTCTAACAGAGTCTTCGTCACATAAAGTACGCGCTAAATAGGGTATTGTAGAATTTCTATACTTAGTAGTACGAGCATATATCTTTTTATATTGACTTCTCGTCCTACCTGATGAGATACAAGGGGACAGGTGTGAATAAAGGGGGTGCAGAGGGTCTGACATTATAGCCTTTGCCCATTTCGTACAGGAATTTATATGCCTCTCGACTATAGTATTAGCGAGCTCATGCAGTGGCAGACCACAAGCTCTACTCACAGCATTTAATACTCTTCGTAATATGATATAATCTTTTTTGAGCAGCCCAGGAAAGATTAATGGAGAGCAGTAGAGTACAATAGGTAAAATACAGGAGTTTAAAAATTGCAAAACTAAAGGTTGGTTGATACCTGATTGTCTTAACTTTTTAATGTAGAAGGTAAGACGAAACATTTTCTTAGAGATAGATAAGATATGGGATGACCATGAAAGGTCAGAGGAAAAAACTACACCAAGGTATTTAATACTTGATTTGGTTTCAATTTCCGTGCCATCTATGCTACAGGGATCATGAGAGTTAACTAGTTCAAGTAAGTCACGTCGATGCTTGAAAGTAAAGTCAAGCACCTGACATTTGGAAGGATTTAATATAAGACCATTTGACTTGGACCAGTTGTTGATGTCCAACAGAAAGCTATTAAGTTTGGAGCTGTCAGACTCGGAAGTGATAGGCAGTGATACAGTCAGATCATCTGCATATTTAACAAAGTTAGTTTCGTTTGAATGAGGTAGGTCATGTAGGAAGAAAGAAAAAAGAAAAGGAGAGAGGACAGCACCTTGTGGAACACCGGATTTTGTAAGCGAGGTAGAAGAAGATTTGCCGTTATATACAGTATACTGCATTCTATCAGAAAAATAGGAATGCAACCAACTCTTAGCCCAGGATCCTGTTTGTGTCAACGATAGCTTATTTAACAAAAGGCCCCTAGGTACAGAGTCAAAAGCAGATGTGTAGTCTAAGAAAGCACTACGAACATATTTAGCACCTTTGTCTAAACAAGAGACAACATTGTGATATAAGACAACCGCAGCATCCAAGGTACTTCTACCATGTTTGTATGCAAATTGTTTAGGATCATTAAAAGGTTTCAAAGCGGGTTCAAGACGAAGTAAAAGTAATTTTTCCATCAATTTTAAAAAGGGGGAAGTAATTGCAATAGGCCGAAATTTAATATCAGAACCAGAAGATGGTTTTGGTATAGGGATAATTTTAATGTTTTTCCATGCAAAAGGTAGAACGTTACCGGAAAAAGAGGCATTAAAAATGTTAGTAAGAGGATAACACAAAATATCAGCACAATTCCTGAGGACAATGGCAGGTATGCCGTCAGGACCAAGGCTTTGAGAAGGCTTAAGAGACCGGAGACATTTAAGCACATCAAGGGTATTAAAACCACTAAAGTTATTGTCAATATGATTTGTATCATTTGGAAGGGTATCAACAGAAGAGCGTATGAAAGATTTATTAAGAGTGTCAACATTAAGAGATGGAACAGAAATACATCGCTTACCGTTAGTAATTTCTTTGAAAAGTTTCCATAAATTAGAAGGGGTTTTACATGACAAAAATCTTTGATTATATAAAACACTTAGTCTTTTTATTTCCAGTTTTATCAGCATGTTTAACTTTTTTACACCAGGCTTATCATTAGTTTTGAACAACAGTTCTTTATTTCTACGTAGCTTTTTGAGATATGGCGAAGATAAGCGATCAAATCGGATGAATAATGTTTCTTTAGGACAACATATTTCGAAACAGAATTTAAGATAATCGGTAGTGTTTGTGATTGTTTCATCTAATGTTTGTTCTGTAAATAAGTCCCAGTTAGTGTCTTTCAACATGCATCTGAGCTTGTCTAGGTTGTCTTTTGAGTAGCATCTCCGTTGAACTTTACTGTAGAGGTGAGAGAGGACACCTTTGTGTGATTTGGAATATATTTTAGGCAGCACACGTATGATACAGTGGTCAGAGTTAAGTAAAGGAGCACGTTTGCGAGCTTCATATATACCAACATCATTGATAAATACCAGGTCCAGTGTTTTACCAAGACGGGTGGCAAAGTTGACAATATTGTCATGACCAAGTGATATAAGGAAGGAGCAATCGCTTCCATTGAAGTCGCCAGTTACTATTGATAAAGAGTTCTCGAAACAAGCTGCAGCAAAAGCGGTGAATTCATCGGCGAACATAGATAAATCCAATATGGTACAGCCAGGAGAGACATAAACATTAGAAATATAAATGAATTTGTATTTTGAAAGGTGTTTCGGGCGACATCTCACAGTGATGCAATCAATGAAGTCATTCGAGAATTTGAAACAAACTTTGTTTGAAATGGACCATTTTGAGTGAATAAAAGTTGCAACACCTCCACCACACTTTTTCTTGGAACAAATACGGTCTTGTCGAAAAACATTGAAATTGTTTAGAGACACAATATTGTCATCGTATGAGTCATGGAGCCAGGTTTCTTGCAGAGTGACAATACCAGTATTGTGGTAGGTACTAGAAGACAACAGAGACTGAAAATCCAGAATTTTATTAGGCAGGGACCGGCAGTTGGTACTAATGATAACTGGAACAGTGGTGTGATGTATGGGTGTAGATTTTAAGGCACGCTGCCAACCTCCATGGTGCTTTTTCTTGAGTTTATTGCAAATATGAAAGTTTTTGGGTTTAAAACGTTTTATAAAATCCCGGGAGTAGATAATACGATTAGAATGCATAATGTGATATGTAAATACCAATAAAATACGAGTAAATAGATGCAAAATGTACATGGAATGTGGTAGCCCAAAAATATTCAAACAGGCCGCCAAGGTCATTCGATGTTGACACTCTTAGTAAGGTTAAGAGACTGACGACGCAACAGAGGCTGGTGATGAAATTTCCACCATTACATAGCAAAGATCAGAGGGTAACAAGGATTTATGAGTACCTATGAGTACCTTCTCTTTCACAACTCGCGAAAACTATCCTCATGAAACCAATGAAGCCAAAAATTAAACTTATGAAGAAGTAATAGTGATGTACTAACAGCTGGACAGAAGAAAACATTTACCTAGTAACCAGTATGCTTACCTGAAACCGTATTGCAACAGCACCTTTATTTCCTGTAGTTCCACCAAGACCAGTTTTAACCGATGAAGTAGCCACATTACGAAGTGAACCAGCCAAACGAACACGAACAAATAGAAATAAACAAATACCAACCAATTGGACTGATGTAATCAGCACATAAGAATCCCGTTCATTTGCATCACGATTTAAATGACGCTGTAAAAATAGACCCCAATCTCTTTGATTAGCGGAAGGTTTTGAACCTGCGACAATATTCGATGTAGTCAGATCAACAATTTCTTCAAAACCGATAGCGAATATATCCATTGGTTTATTCAATTCATTTGAGTCATACTCATTATTCTGATAACCCCAATTATTTTGACTGTCGATAGTTTGAGCTAAATCGAGTAACCAGTCCGTAACAGATTCATGCTTATGAGCTACACTACGAAAGTGTTTACCACCATTGACATTCCATGTACCGACAAAAATGCGGAGATTATGCAGTTGAATAAATTCTGGATAACGATGTAAGATGTTAGTTAACAGTGTAGGCGGTAATTGCAACAATCTTCGAGGGAGATATTGTTCTGTTAGAAATAATAAAGAAGATAATAACATGCGAGAAAAGAAAGAAATGATCACTGAGTTTTATTTTGAGAAAAAAGTTACTATATATACTATGCATCTGATCGATTAATCAATAATAAATCAATAATCAAATAATTCGATTTGACAAAAGATTTAGTTTAAAACTAGTGACTAGGGGGATACTGATTACCGGCGAGTGAAATTCACCAAATAATAATAATACTGATAATGATTTACTTTATTCCAAAAACAGTACTTCAGATACAGAATGGAATTTTCAGCATTAATCACAATATTGCATCTAATTTCCTCAAATTATGAATAAAAATTAATCAAACAGAAAATTTTCCACGTTTACAATAGAGGTATTGTCAAAAACATGCAGCATATCAAAATGGAAATAATAATAATAATGATAACAGCTAAGGTAATACTAATAATAATATAAGTAAAAATTACCGTGGGCTTGTTACACACAGTATTGTTAATGCGGTATAGAAATCCGAGCATGTTTAAAAATATTGAATATAATATTCTCTTTACATGATATGGTGAGGGGAAATACAAAGATTACAGCAGTCATAGAGATAAGTTGGTGTTTGCAATTATGAGAGTAAAACAAACGAAGAAGCAACAGGACCATAAGTATTATAGAAATAATAAAAGTAAAACTTGAATGTATATAAGGATGGATGAAGGAAATTGTTTATTTACTAGATGAAAAAAGGTTAGTTAATTCTTGCCTGACACTATTTTCATCACATAAAATACGTGCCAAGTACGGTATCATAGAATTCTTATACTTAGACGTGAGAGCATACAGTTTTCTGAAGTTACACCTTGTTCTACCTGAGGAGATGCAAGGTGAAAGCTGAGGGTAAAGCGGATGCTCCAAGTCAGACAAAATCCCTTTAGAAAATTTATTGCACGAAGTCAAATGCCTATCGACAACGACGTTAACTATGTGGTCCACTGGGACACCACTCACTCTACTGACAGTCTTCAGTATTCTACGAATTGTGACAGTCTTTTTTAAGCAAACCAGGAAAGAATAAGGGTGAGGAATAAAGAAGAATAGGTAGGATGCAAGAGTTTAAGGACTTCAAGAAGAGGGGTCGACTTATATCCGAGTGCCTTAACTTTTTAATGTAAAATGTCAGACGGAATATTTTACTGGAGATTGCTAAGACATGGGAAGACCAGGAGAGATCAGAAGAGAGAATGAGTCCAAGATACTTAATTTCTGATTTAATTCCTATATCATTGTTGTCGATCTTACAAACGTCATGAGAATCGACGACTTCTTTTAACTATATTTAACATCTTAAGGTGAAATTAACAGTTTGATATTTAGAAGGATTCAGTTTAAACAGTTAGACTCAGACCATCTGCTGACTCCCGATAGAAAGCTATTTATTTTAGTACAATCTAGCTGAAGGTTAACAGCCATTGAAACCGTTAAATCATCAGCGTTCTTCACATAGTTTATTTCATCAGAGTGAAGCAAGTCATGTAAGAAGAAAGAAAAAAGAAAAGGAGAACGGACAGAGCCTTGAGGGACACCAGCTTCAGTAGGCAATGAAGTGGAAGATTTCCCTTTATGCATGCTGTACTGCGTTCTTTCTGAGAAGATTCTCTGAAGATTTCAGACAGTCAGTTATAACTTGCTCAGAGTCTCAGAATAAATTAGACTCTTCATCATCGTCACCTAAGTGATTAAAAAAACTTTTAAGAAAATGTAAAAAGGAATTCAAAAAATTCACTCAAGAAATCGAGAGTATCTCATGTAATGTAGATAAGTACTGGTGCGTCAGTGGCATAGAGGTAGAACGCTGGCCAACCATACAGGTGGTTCGGGATTCGAGCCCCGGCCACCGACGCACTTCTTTACCTTGCTAAGCTAGTAATAAGACTGGTAAAAAGTGAAGGTCGGGCATGAGGCTAGCAACTCTATCACGTGAAAAGTAAACACCACTGCTACCGAAACTTCAAGCTGGCTCTAGCTTGAAGCCCTATGTCCCACTGGGAACGTAAAGGAATAACAAGTAACAAACATGAGTATTGAATTGTCTCAGTTTTCTAATATTAGACTATATTTTTATTTTTGCTACTCAACACACACTTGTCACACAATTGTTAGGAATAGAGAAGTCAATCAGTATATTATCAATTTTCTATCAACTTTCTATAGTTTGGTTTGTAAGGATTAGTTATGTTTTACGGGTTGATCACGGATTGATATCAGTAAAATTTTCTATCAACTAATATTCCGTTATGTTTATTACATCTTTAAAGTACACCTCGTTTAGGACAAAGAGAAAGATTTCAATTGGCCTATTTTTTTGGCTTACCTGTTAATTAAATAAAAAGCTCATACTTTCCATACGGTGAAGATTTGTGAACATGGGTGATAACATTGAGGAATTTCAATCAATTTACTCTTTACAATCAAGTGTCTTACGACTAACTGTGCTTCATTAGTTGGAGGATTTCATCATGAGCTGAAGTCGATTAGAGAACCGTGAAATCCTCCAAGCAATCAAACAAAATCCCGACAAACTAATATTTGAAAATTAACTTGGCTTCAACATAACTTAAGTTAACACCTCAATCAGTTATTAGAGTAAGTTTTGAATAAAAAGCCATGTTCCAAGTGATGATTGATTTTTCAGACTATAAAGTCTGAACATTGCGGAATATACAGATTTGAGTATTCTATGCGAAATGTGAAATTTTTTTATTATAGCTTGATTCCACACTGTATTTTCTGCACAAGTATGGAATTTTCAGCATGTGATGTCAATAACTCAAATTTTGTTGGCCGACCATTAATATCAAGTGTGCGTCGGGTAGGGATCGAGCCCCGGACTATGTGTATGGTCGGCGAGAGTCGTAACCACTGTGCTGCCAGAGCATACAGTTATTAGATACCAGCATAACGAAGGCACACACACAGAGCATTGTCAGAGGATCCGTGACAAGTAATTTAGCAATAGTGCCTTCCTCGATCCAGCGACTGCATCTACAATGATTTTCGCTAACGACATACGTTAATTATTTGTGATAGATGCTGGAATTCCAGGCAGCAGGCGAATGATGCACCAGAGGAGAAGCACTAACCAAACAGTATTTCAACAGCAACGGCTGTTACTTAACATTCTTAGAGTTAGCTACTCAGTATACAAGAATCACTGGTATCGATATTTCGAGAAGATAAAGTTATTCAGAGTTCAAAATAAATAAAATAACAGTCTTACAGTTTCCTTTCAACGAGAAAAACACTAACCACGTGTGAGTTCTTGAATTAGAAAGAAATCTACAAACTGTGATAAGAGATTGGTAACATCCAGATGCGATTACCTAATGATGTTCGACTACTAACCATTGAACATTCGACCGCTATTTAACCATTAGAGTTAATCAACACAGTGCTACATTATTTGAATTTATTGAAAAGATTCTCTGTAAATTCTAACTGAAGTGAAGATGTGTGTGTGCATTGAAACGAACAAATAAAACACCAGATAAAATCTAAGTTTCAGTGAATTCTAAAAGTAAATCAAAACATAGCAAATATGTGTATCTTAAACTAATCTAAGAGGAATACCGTTATCCGTTGTCCAATTTTTGTTATTCACATGACTACAGTGGTGTTCTAATATTAGTGTTTTTCAAACAGTCACGCCTATAGCCCTTCTAGGTGAAGACGCTGACAAAATAGAGCACAGTCTTCTGAACACCTTGAGCTGTAATCTACGAATGTTTGCCATGCGCTTCGCTCTCGCCAAATGTGCGGTGATGCTACAAGACTGAACTACATTGACTCCTGGCTTAGAAATAGAGAGTCATGTGGTAGAGCACGTTGATCACTCAACTTATTTGAAAAGTTTCATCAGCCAACGCCAACGACTTGATCGCTAACGAAATCTCAGCACGGATACAGAAGGCTAGTTTTGCAAATACCAATTTACGCCATCTCTGGCGTAGATGTGATATCCGAATATCGACTAAATGACGTGCGTACTGCCGATCAGTCAGCTCCGTCCTCCTTTATGGCTGTGAGATCTGGCCATTGAGAGTGGAAGACATCAAAACATTAGCTGTCTTTGATCACAGGTGCCTGGGCTCTATCTCCCGTGTGAATTGGTACAATAGGGTGAGCCATATTGAGGTTAGGCGCCGGTCGAGGGCTAGGTAAAAAGGGGAAATCAATCGACAAGGTTGTGAAGTTACGTCGATTGAGATGATTACGTATGCCTAGCCATCCATCACATTCCTTGATGGGCAATGTTAGCTGACACATAGTCAGTCTGGAAAAGAGCTAGTGGTGGTCAAACCAAAACATGGCACCAGTCAATGAAATCCACAAAAGTTAGTTTAAGCCAGCCATTTTCGGAGGTGTAAACTTCCTGATTGGAGTCCTCGAGGCGGTAAAAACCAATAACTGGAGACAATCGGTGATATGGCTGAAAATCATTCTCAATGGCTGATGCAGATGCATGCACTCTTAGTGAAAAATAATTTCCAATGAAACTATATTGTTCCTCGTTATTACTATTCCTTTAGTCTCATATCCCTGTTTACTGTCTCTTTTTTGCATTTCTTCTACTTTCTTCTCTTGGTTTGTGTGCTACATGGAGTGTGGTGACTTGAACTGTTGCACATCGATGCAAAGTTCTTTGTCGAAAACAGGCAGACAGTGTCATATAAAGTATTAACATTATATTGATAAAGATAATGAAACAGGACAAAATTACGAGCTCCAAAGTCCTTGCGTACGATTCGATTCTACAGAATAGAACCTTCATACATTTATTCCACTTTATGAATCTGAATAAAGCAAAACCAGAGTTTGTGGAGAATAAAATAGTACCATCATTTATTTCGGTGGCGTCTTATCAGTTGCTTACAACTTAAATAAATTAAGTTTTTGTATAGAAAAGTTTTAAAGTACTTGTAAATTTTACATGATGCCAGTTGACAAGAAGTTTCAAACTTA